CCGAGATTTATATAAAGTAATGAAGGATAACAAGTGGCGGGTGCTCGCAATGTATGGCGGAGAGGATGTGGCGTATATTAAGTTATTTTGACTGAAATTGCACTTAGCGATGGAATTTATTACATTGCGATAAGGCTAGATGAACGCGTAACGAGCAGTTGAGAGAACATAGGGAGGGCATATTATACGATTACGTAAATAATGTGGGATTAAATGTGTTTAATATTTTATCATTTAATACGTATGCTCTTTTTCTTCTTTCTTTCTTTTTTCTTTTTTTCTAAAGAGTTGGAATTATTTATAATGAACGTTATTTATAATGAAGGTAAAAACACGTATTTCTGAAATTTTGCTCTCTTATCTGGGAATGATTTAAATTAAATACGATATTCTTCTTCGTGTGGATTATTAATTTAAATATATGTGATTAATGCAAATTGTAATAAATTTGAAATGTAATAAAATTAGAAATAAAATATCGATAAAGAAAATATAGGAATATAGAAATATTGTATCAAATATCACGTTCATATTTTAAATATCGAAAGAATTATTCTTTATAATCATTATAAAATGATATTATTGTACAACACGAATATTAAATTATATCTTTCATCGAAAATTTTATTACATTTTATATTTTTCTCCAATCCAGTTACATTTTATATCAATCCTATATTATTTTCTTATACACGTATGTACAAGCTTTTTTGTACATAGGTCATGCATAAATACAAAAATTATTCTTTTTTAACTCTTGTACTACTTAGTGACATAAGCATATCAATAAGTTAAATGAGTCTAATAAGTCTAATAAAATTATTACAAATAATAATTCATTCCAAAAATAAACGCATCTATCTCTAACTTGCCTTAAAACTGCATTAAACGCTATTAAAATTACAAAAACTTTGAATCGCTATAACTCCGAAGATATTGACTTTTTGACAACAAATAAGCGATCATTAGAAGCGTGGGACCTTACCCTTTAAAACGCTTTTTTATTCATGCCGATACGATTTCCGGTTCCCGAGATATCGTCGTGTAAAGGAAAGGGTAATTTTTAATCTTTTACTATCTCCGTCCTTTTCGCTTACTCGGAACTCTCGCTCGCACCTCGTCTCACCGACCTACCCCAAACTCCAGACAAGCGACAGACGTAATTCCTAGAAATTGCTAGCGTACGCATTTCCAGGAAAAAAATTTAGGTCACTGGGTCGCGAGTCCATTCATAACTTTCGCGCTATGTCTTAAGCGCTATGGAAACTTTAAATCTTTATATCTCGGCAACCGTTTGAGATATCCGGATAAAACAAAAAGCAATTTCAATGGGATGGTTTCCTCTACTTTCTGACTGGATTCTCGTGATAAAATTTTTACTTTCTTTTGACGTTTTTTTACATCAAAAATCAAGATTTAGATTTTACGTGATTGTAATGGGTTTATTGCGATGATCTAAAATATATGCAAACTTAAATTAAATTTAATTGAAATTTATAAAACAAAATATAATAAATACACAAAAAGTGATTTGTTATTCCATATTAATATTTTACACAAGACATAAAAGTGAAAATTACTCGTATGCATATATTTTACATAATTTAGCATATTTCACATTGATATTAAATATTTTTCTATATTTTAATTGAATATTTAAACAAATTCTAACTATATAACCCATAATTCACTAATAATACTCTTATTATTAGATAATAAAATCACGAAATTTTTTAAAACTATAATAATTTATAAATTTAACTACTTCAAATGATTCTACTGAAAAACTTCAACGATATTAATTCGAATTTTCAGGATTCGATAACACAGAACTCAACGTATGAGAAAGACTATGCATTTCACTGGAATCGAATATACGTCTTATCAAAGTTACTGTTAGATACCGGTAAACCAAAACTGTCAGAGATTTTAACGAGCCAATAACGTGGTAAAATGTTGTAGACCGACATGCTAAAATGCATTCGCGTTCAACGTGCAAACTTGGATTAGAAGATTGGATGTTCGTTCCAAGTTGCTCCTAATAAATTTCCTGTTTACTTGGAGATAAGGAACACGCAATGAGTCCCCTATCCTTTAAATTAGACATTTAACATTGCCTCTTTCAACCTCACCGACACGAGGCCTCGTTTCAAAGCGTGATAAACTTAACTGCCGAATTGTTTTACGAATTACGTTTATCTGCCACTTATCCAAAGGGCTTTGGTTGTTCATCACTCGTTTAATCTTAATTGACTCGCTTGAACCACCATTTTCTCCTTTCTGTGCACCTTCTCTCGCTGTCTTCCTTCCTGTTGAAAACAATCGGATCTTGATTAAAAGGAAGTTTAAAAGGAAGAAAGACTTTGTTATAGCATTGAATAAAATATGATCAGAAAGAGAGACGATAAAAACAACCTTCGTTCAATTTCAATCATAAGAATCTATAACAGCGATGAAAGAATGAAATATGATGAACGAAAGCCAGATTATCCCTCGCGTAAATAAACAAACAAATTAAAGAAGAGTCTCCAGGATCAGAAATAAAAAGTAACTGCATCAGATTGCAAACCAGACGAATTTTCCAAAGATCTCTCAACGATTTGCAGGATATTCTTCCCAAAAATACAAACAATTCTATTACTCTTAATACACGCCTTTTCATGTCCAATCATCGAGATCTAACATCAGTAAACAACTCGGTTGCAACTCCTTCTTTTCCTTCTTTTCCATAATCGAATCTTTCCCTCCCTTTCTCTCCTCTCTCGTCCCTCTTCCTTTCTCTCCCACGTTCAATTTCATCGTCAGTATCATCAGTGGCCGCAGTTCTCTCTCCCCAAGAGAGAAAGAGAGAGAGAGAGAAATAAACAGCTTACCGAGAAAAAGCATCATTCCCGCGCGAGCAGTATCTTCTGCTAGTAGCGCAAGTTTCAGTTTCGCCTCGAAGATCTCTCGAAGACTCCCGGAGGACTCGTTCGGTATAAAATGCACTCGACAAGTCCTGGCGGAGATCGAAGACGAGAGGCGGCTCCAGTTCGTTATCGAAACCGGGAAAAGAGCGAGGAGGGCACAAGTGGGCCGAGCAGCGAGCTGACGCGGAATTGGCCTTCCCGCGACGTTGTTCGTCCGACATGGAGGTTTACGAAGCACTCGAGCCGGCCTGCGCCGCAACGAGCACTCGAAACATGATCAAAGGGTGCATTCATAATCTGCTACGCGTCGCGGTTTCGCAGGCGAATCCGCGTGCAGATACTTTTTGTAAACAGGATAGGGTTAACGGCGTAATTCCTCGTTCCATAAATTGTCGGACAGATCGACGCCTATCTGTTTCTACCGAAATATTATTTATTTTTAGTTGCGATGAGACCTGAATCTCGAGAGTTGGGTAATTTAAGATGATAGAGGAAGAGTGTAAGATTAACACATAAACGGGGACGAAGTCGTGGCATGAATGAGATGAAGCCTTGTGTTCTCTAACAACAACCTTGTGTTACGTTGGTAATCTTCAGGAGGAAATAATATTTTGTGATTGGAACGTGTTTAGAATGTTCTTATCATTTCGTGTTTAATCTCCTTACGCATCGAGGCAAAATTCTCTATTTAGATTCCATTTTGTAAATCGATCGATCTCGTGATTGTGATTGATTTCTGTGATTATGATTATTTATTATTTTCCTAATATTCTCGAGTTGTCCTCTTAAAAATATGACAGAGAATTGTTACAATTTTTTTTATACGATTTCATTATGGATAGAATCACGTGTAATACTGCTTCGATAGTTACGTTTTCTTCCTTTCTTTAATTTGAGTATATTACATTTTTTTTATGATAATTTTATTTCGTATACACGTTCATTGGATATCAAAATTAGTATCATATTATGATATTAATATAGAATCGAATACGATAAAATATTCGATCCATCAAGAAAATTGTGTTCGTGTTTAACCTCGAGCTAAGAATATATCAGACGCATATTACGCGAAAACACGCGTCCTCGGACAAGAGGCTCAAAGACGATGATGAAAGGAGACGACGTTGTCGCTTGTCTGAAACTCGGTTTTGCGGATCCGTTGATGTCAGCTCGTTAGGTTAGCTGCGTTACCTAGGTATTATCTTATCACTGCTTTATGAGAGCTTTCGTATTTAGTGAGAACACTTGTTATTATGACTCGTAAGAGTGATCGTTTCAATGGAAATTAAATGGTGTCGTTGAGATTTAGTAGCTGCGTAGAAAATGGAAATTTTGACCGTTTAAAATTTGTAAGAATACCTACTATAATATGTAAAAAGCTATAGAGAAAAATTTAATAAATTATACGAGGAGAGATTTGGGATTCGACTTGTCGAGTTATTCTCTTCTACGATTTAAATCATTGTGCCTTGAAATTTTTCAAGTTTTCTTTGCCTTTTAGAAAAAGTTTGAATAACATTTATTCCAAGCTATACATGGAAAATTATTTATAGATGATTCTAAATTCTAAACGTTTCTATAGAGATAGTATATCTATAAAGAAAGATTTCTAAGGAGACGGTAAAAGCAATAAAAAATAGAGAAAAAAAGACGTCTCACAAAGAAATCATTCAAATAGCCAATATATATTAATTCATTTTATTTGCAAAAAGTTTCTAATAATTTTAGCTTGTTAATATCTATACTAAAACAGTAAAATAACTAAATTTATAGCTAATAAATATCAAATAATATTTATGAGACAGATACAATACAAAATTCTCTTCTCGGTATCTCTAATTTTCCAAGAAAAAAAAGAAAAAAGGAAGAATACATCTTAATAGAATAATCATAAGAGGAGATGAGCTTCGAACAATTTCTAAATAAAAATCCCTTTTTTGCCTCGTAAATATTTATGACTGTGGTCAAGTCGAAAAATACAGGTTGGATGATACACTCGAAACGATCTCTATACGCTATTAGAAGCCTAAGTTACATTGTGCGGAAAAACACGTTGCAAGTTTATCGACAAATTGTCAGGATACTCACCTCGTAGTATATAATTTTGGTAATTCTGGTCAGCCTCGCTTCCAACCTTGATGAGGCAAGCAAGCCCATCATTTTGCACGAACTCGTGCACCAGGTCCTTGTCCTCCTGTAAAATCAAAGTTTATGGTAAGTATATAAGTGTAACCAATTTATTCAATATGAAACGAAACTCCTAATCGATCGATTTGTTCACCTCTGAATTTATGATCCCTCATTTGGAATATTCTACGTCCTAACGCCTCACGGAATGGAGACGGAATGGAGAATAATGTGTTCGTATTGAACAGTCCGTGTCTTCGACTCGATGCTGAATGACTTTATTTACACGCGTTTGTATATAAATAAACGTGTTTTGAATCGATTATTTCCGTGTTACTGATGTTTATGTGACGAGTTTCGAAACGAGTTTTAGAAACGATAGAATTCTATACGATAGGATTTTATATTTTTAATTAATAAACGAGAGATTTTTATATTAATTTTTATTATATAATTATATCCGATATTTTGTGATCTTGTGATTCTATGTTTATTAATAAAATATATAATAAACTGAATATATTAAATTTTTTTAAATAAAATGCACGATGATATCACTTTATAACGTTTTGATGGAAAAATAGAGGACCACTTGTTCTTCCTCTCTTAATTAAATTCAACGTCTAATTAACTCGTGTTTCTTTTCCTGTATACTTTAAAAAGATAGTTTTATAAACTCGGTAACTTTATTTAGTTTAATTAATGAAAAGTACATACATATGAGAGAATTATTTAAAAGATTAAAACTTAAACTACTTTCGTTACTTTCATTACAAGAAAGAAATAAAAAAAATAATAATATATAAATAAATGGAAAAGAACACGTTTGCCTCGAAATCACTTATTACTTATCTTCAATATTAATTTAAATAACTAATATTTTCTATATAAATTTCTTTTATGCACACAATATTGAATCAATATTTGATAGAAATTTATATAGAAACAAATTTATTCGTATTAATCACCATCATACTCCTCTATAATTTCACGATTATCTAAACTTTACTCTATTATTTAACTTACTTATCATCCAGACATTAAATCCTGTTACTTTTAAAAATTCAGCAAAAAAAAAACAAATCAACTTCACCGATAACGGAATGAATATTACGTGCAATTTGTCCACCATAAACAAGTCGAGAATAAAATAAAGTAAGAATAAAATACATAAAATGGAGGATATAATGATGAATCAATCATCGAGTTTGATTAAACTCGTCTGTCAACGTTTGCCTCGCAGATCATCTCGGATCTCTGCCGTTCCTTGCCAGACCTCGACCGATGGAAGTCCATCGAACGCGGACAGACGATTAGCCGAGATTTAGAAACGAAATTGAAGGTCGATTTCAACGGATAAATCCGTGGAGATCTCGTTCGAGGAGAGCCTGTCTCGATTCTAATTAATTTCGTCAGCTGGTCGGGCTGATAATTGAAACGATAAGATATTGCTCGGAGGAAGAGTTCGAGGATTGTTTTAGACGCCCTCCCCCCGCGTTAACAATCCACTACGACGATTTATCTTTACGATGTGGCAATCCTATTGTCTAATTAAACGTTTGCCTTTGTTTCGCGAGAGAAGCAGAGCGTTGCCCTCGATTTAATTGCGAGATTTTTCGGGAGCGTGAAATCTTTATCTTTTTATTCAAAGGACGCGTTTTTATTCACAAGAGATTCGTAGAAAAGTGTGGTTCTGACGAAGGATCGTGTGTGTAATTTTCTTTTTGCATTTGATGTAAAAAAAGGAAAAATAAGATTTTTTTAAAAATATTTTTTCCATTTACAAGATTCCTTTCTTAGTTTTGAATAGATTGGACAAATTATGCTGGATAATTGATTGTGCTATTTAGTATAACGATTAAACGAACTGATATTATAGATTATTATGGAGTTGACAGTTTACAACACGATTTATTTTCGATCATTAACATATTTGTCACTCAACGATAATATAACATTCTTCCTGATAATTTCAATGATAAATTTAGAATTTAACATGTACGTAACATTGATCGCCATTATAATATTTCGATGAAATTAATATCAATAAAGCATAATATTATTGACACAAATGAAACTAGTTTGTTAATTAATAACATCATATCACGGATATTCGCGATATCAAAAAGACAAAAGATTTTTATTATTTATTCTTCTGTTGTATTGTATTATAAAACGGATTAAGTAAGAATAATAAAAAGTATATAAAAAAAAACAAACAACATGAAAGCTTAACAACGTATTATTAAGCTACGTATAATAAATCGATAAAACAATAATACGCTTAATAACATTTTATCCACTATCCAAATGTTTGACATCCGCACCATTCATCACGATTCTAATATAATTTAACAATAAACTCATCCATCATTTACGAGGGAAGAATGATAGCTTCCGGTGTAATGGAATTTCTTTTAACGAACAACCTTCTAACTTGCAGCCACGAAGAAAAATTCCTTTCCCGCTCGGCTAATTACGAGATTTAATTACGGCGGACAGAGTTAAGAAAAGTACGACTCGAATAAACACGCTCAGCCAGGGTCCAGTTTGCCCTTCTTGTTCCGGAAACGGAAGAAGTCGTGAAAGTTGAAACAATCCATCGTTCAAAAATGAACGAATTCAGGATTCAATTCGTTTCGCAAAGTACGTTTAGCCAAGTTAACTCTTCCATTACAATCGATTTAACGTCGCTGATTAAATTTCTTTTCTTATATTTGAAATTCAACGACCTAATAATATTTAGATCATAAATTCTTTTTTTAAGAGAATCCTTTAATAAGTCGGAGAAACTTTAAATGTAACAAATACAAAAAGGATTTATTAATGTAAATAATTGTGAATGAAAAGTGTTTATATAAAATGTTAATCGATATAATAGAATATTTAATTAATAAATTTGATTGATTTTGTTAAAATTTAATTACATAAAATTTGATTCGTTTAATTAATCTAATTATTATTGCCTTCACAATAAATCATTTATTATTCTGTTCTGAATATAATTTTAAATGAAAATGAATCTCTGGAATGAAAAAATCTTATTCCATTTTCGACTTGTTTTCTTTTTTTCTTTTTTCATGTAAAAATCATTCTCTCCGTTATTATATTATTATTTCTGTGTACATAAAAATTCAATTTCCTTTAAAGGAAAAAATTCATTCATATACCTATAGTAATTAAACAAAAAAATTCGTTCTCTTTCATTTTATTTTCCAAACAAATCCAATGATAATTTATCCTGGGTTATTACTTACTCATGGATCGTTTCATAGACTATAAATGAAATCTCGACATAAATCATCCACATGAAATTCCCTCTAATTAAACGCTTAAACCAAATCACACACTATCAATATCGTATTAAAACAAAAATACACGATCTAAATTCCAGCGAATCAATGTAAACACGAAGCATCGAATCTACTCTACTTAAAAATATTTCTCACTCCACAATAAGAAGAAGAAGAAGAAGAAGAAGAAGAAGAAGAAGAAGAAGAAGAAGAAGAAAACAAGAGGAGGAAAAAATCTTTCCCTCCAAAAAATAACCGTGTTTGCACGGTTTTAACGGTTAAAAGACGTGAATGTTCGAGGGTGGATTGGGGGAAAAGAAAAAAAGAAAAAAAAGAAAAAGTATCTTGGAATGCGGCGTGTGCGTGTTCCACGCCAAGGAATAACGAATTTGCGAGACAAAGGGCATCGAGTTGTCGAGATAGGAAGGATAGAAAGGGAGCGGAAGAGATGAGGTCACGAGGGGGAGGAAAAGAGAAGGAAGGAGAGAATGCACTCGCTCAAACCACCATGCAAATATTTACTCGTCGAGCGAGTAGCTTCTCGTAAAAATAGCCTATGTCTGCCTCTCTCTTCCCCTAGTTTCATCTTTTTCCACCCCACTGTCTCTCTCTTTCTTTCTCTCTCTCTCTCTCCCCCGTTCCAACAGTCTCAACGACTGTTTGCGATTCCCTTCCTATCACTCTCTCGCTTCCTCTCCACTGTTGTTTCGAAACTCTGTCTCACTCCCTCTCCATCGAGGTCCCGCAGGTATCGCGGATTGTATACCCACCTGAAAGATCTGCTTGAGGGAGAAGAGAGCTCGTCGCAGCTCGCGGCCCTCGCTGTTCAGCAATTTTTCTGAAACAGACAAGTAACACGCAACCATTTATTATAATAATACCTCGCGTTAGGGACGTATTGTTGGGGCGGGAGTCGGTCAGTCGGTCTCCTTATTCAGCCAACGATTCTGCCTCTTTCTTTCTTTTTCCGTTTCGTTTATGGAGATGATATGATTGTGGGAGATTTGTGTCGTGAATCGCATAAGGGGGCTGTTTAATGGCGTTATTAAAATAATCGTGGGTCGGGTGAGAAATTCGTTCTTATTTGGGTGATTTACAATTTGGAGGGAGAAAGAAAAATTGAAATAAGATGTAATTCGGTTTAATCAATTCGATTTTGTGGTAGAACAGATTAAATCGAGTAACTGGACAAACAATGTGTCTCAATTACTGTCTATATACTTATTTTTCAGTAGCTTAACTCATTGGAATAATATAATTTCTATTCTTCATTTAGAAAAGAATCTTGAAATTTGAAATATACAAATTTAGAAAAAGATATTTATTCTTTATGAAATTATGGAATTTTTTCTTTTTTCAAAGAATATCTTTGCTATAGTAACAATAAAAAGTAACAATCATTGTATTATATTTATCATTAGTTAATATTTATTTTCTATTATAGCAGATATATTCTTTTTCAATTTTCACAAACAAACACTTTTCCATTTCGCACAAATAATATACAAAAATATTATTCTTCCGTTGCAAATTTTTATTTTCCTTTATAACGAATGCGATTCTTTTTTTATGATTTCGATAAGGAAATTGTCTACAGCCGCTTACGCTGTAACGGTGCCTCCAAAGTGGTCGATGGTTCGCGCTGAAGGCGCGCGCAAAAGCGAACAAGCCACCCGGAAGTTCGTTTAGTGTAGGAAGATCAGGAACAGCTAGGTATACCGGGAGAGCTTTTGTTTCCAACGTTAAGCATTGTCGACGCGCCGTAGGGACTCGTTAATTATCAACTTCTCTTCACGTCCGATTAAATCATTTCTGGGATGAACATGTTTCTCTCTCCCTCTTTGTATTCTCATTTTCCAAATCCTCTTCCAAATTTTCTTCTTTGTAAAATCGAACGAAACGGAATAAAAATATATATATATATATATGATTTCTGATCATTGGATCAGGATCATTCAAATTTTTCCACTTTTTTTCTTTCTTTTTTTTAATAATATAGAATTGTATTCCAACAAAGTTCACTGATTCTTGATATAAACGTATCATCAAAGAGAAAAGAAAAATATTAATTGAGTTAAATTACATTTATTCAACTCGCGATAGTTTAATTAATTTTAATCCACTTTTGAAAATTATAACGAGATTGATTGTCAGTATCAAGGTATTTAGAGCATTCAAGAGTTATCCTCGAGGTAATTAATTCTCAAATACTTCTGAAGTCGATGCAGTTGGCGAAGTTTCATAAGCATTATGGCAGATAACTATTCATATTAAATTTCGACGTTAGCATCATTCCAAGATATTCCTTACACAAAAAAGATCTATAAAATAATTATCTAATAAACGTCTTCGAATATAACATCGAATATTAAATTAAAAAAAAAAAAGAAATTAAATTTTTACGTCTGATCATAACTCGATACTCTTATGTATCGGATAGAATCACAATGAAAATGCAAAAACGAAAAGAGTTAAGAAAAGAGAGTTGACGCGAGAAAAGAAGAAGAGCAAAAAGAGTAAAAAAAAAAAAAAAAAAAAAAGATCCGAATGATATCGTGAAAGAATGGGAGGTCTTTCCTCTCGGTTGAAATCATTTATCGGGGTTAATTAGAGGAAAACCAGTAATTAAGTCCGCGATTAATTTTACACGACGAATTTTCGTCGGTTCGCATTCACCGTTCCATCCCTATTATCCACCCTCCCATCCCCCTCGTCATTTCCCGCTCTTTCGGGGACTCTATCATTCTTTTTCAATCGTGGCCCGCCCGTATTACTAATAATTGAATTCCATTTCACCAGCGGCGCACTAAATTCAATTTCCCGAGGCTGTCGAGATTTTCCAGCTTGCTAAAAATTCACACGAGAACGAACAAGAGGGAAATATATATATATATATGCGTGAAAAAAAAATAAAAATAAATTCGCGTAAAAGAAATGGGGAATAGAAGAAGAGCGATGTGCGTATAAAACGAAAAGTTCAAGGGGAAAATAAGATGATTCATGAGGCGCATAGAGCGTATCATCTCTCATGAAGTAAAAAAGGGGTTGAAAATTCGATCGTTTACGAGATATGATTATTTTTTGTTTTACGTTAGCATCATGATTGATTTATTATTGTTTATTTATCGTCGTGGAATAAGGAAAGGAATATTGTCGATAGCAATTTCAACCCCTCCTCATCCCCTTGGTACAGTGATTGCACGCTGGTTTTCGGGCGTACACTCGGATGCACGCTCTATCGAACAGCATGAATGTTGATAATTGGCTGGTATCGATGTCAATGGGCGAATAATTTCGTCCCCAACGCGTTGACCATTCCATTATGTTCGGGGTAAGTGGTAGCAGACTGTTTGCGTTGAACAATTGCGAGGCGTGGATAGTATGTTTGGAGGCAGTGATGTAATGGCGATTACAATCGACACAGGGTTATTTTAACAGGGTGAATTGAGCAAGAGGTTAAGATTTTCTTTTTGTATCTTCTTCTTTTTTTTCCTTTTTTTTTTGGTTTAAATGCAATTCAAGGAATTAAGAGAAGTTGAAGAGAAATTAAAAATTTTGTAATAAAAGAAGATTATAATGATTATGCAAAATAATTCTAGATATCTATAAAAATGTGAAAAATATCTTCCTATACAAATATATTTTATATTAATAATTTCATAATAGTAATTAAAATAATTTCTTTACATTAAAATATATAAATATATATTTCAAAATATTTCATTATTCCTGATCCGCCACTCGTAAATAATACGTATTTTCCATCGTCTCGTTCGCTCTCGATTAAATAAAATCGTGAATGGAATGCGCCGTAGAGTGACAAAAAGCGAGGAGAAAAAGACGTCGAATGGAAATTGGCGCGCAAAAAGAACAGGGAAACGCAAACCGCGAACCTTGCCGGATTTTTATGAAACTCGAGCCGGTCGTGCAATTGAACTAATTTCCATACTCACGATTCCACGCAATTTCGCAAATTCGCAAGGACACAAGCACAGTTGCTCTTCGTCCAAGGATTTCAAGCTTGAAAATTTATCAGCTCCGGCCATCTTTCCACTAATTTTCCACGAATTGCCAATAGGAACTCACACGTTATCGATATGTACATAGATCGCACAATGCGTTGTGGACCGTGTAGATTCCTTCGAATTTTTGCTAAAACCTGACGAAATAACGGGAAGTGGATATCTATTGACAAGCAAGAAGTGCCGGCACGGGTTAACACGCGAACATCTCGAACGTTTCTTGACAAATGTGTCAATTTGCATATTCAGAAACGGGTATTTCTGCTTCGTGGAAATATCGAGAAGCATTCGTCGAAAATGGCCGCTCTTTGCATTCTGATTTGATTCGAAATTCCAGAGGGAGATGGACAGATGATAGATCTCAGTTTGGTTCGAAATAGTTAATAGGAAAGGGACTTTCGATAATATAAGTCATAATAAAGCAAAAGGATATTATGATAAAGAAGACACTCTGACAAATCTAACCACGAAAATAATCAAAGTAAGGATGATTATATTATGATTGCCTAGTCTGCACATATATCAAGCAATTTCCTTTAAACAAAATTTAAAACCTAAACGTAATGCATCGATTTTTCCATTACTTGATGACTTTACTTACAATCAATCATACTTTTAACCTAATGTTCTGTACCGTCGTTCTAAACACAGATGAAAGTTACAACAGATCACAAGCCCCCAAGGAAAATGTCATGAACAAAAGTACTTGATCAGTATTTCATCCATCAAAGTGAGAATAATGTAATCTCGATTGAAATTAAATCGTCAATAATGTACTACTACTGATAACTATAATCACCCAGAATCCTAACTTTCCTGCATAAATTATCTCGTTAAATTTCCATACCATTCATCTTCTATATTATTATTCCATATTATTCTTATTTTATTTTTCGCGTAAGACAAACGAGGCTGCAAAGTGGGTCCACAGCTGCGCACTGTTTCTGCGAATGAAACCGTCTACACCGCCATTCTCGTTCACGAAAGAAGAAGAAGAAGAAGAAGAAGAAGAAGAAGAAACAAAAATATCGTTTTCATTCATGCGGCTCTATCACGGCCTGTCTGATGTCTGTTTCTTTATTTCGCACGACCACGCCCTTGTTCCTTGGTCGAGTCACGGATCCAAATTCGCGACTCCTTTCGCGGAAAAGGAGGCCCGCGCGACCGCATAATCAGTCGCTATCACGCGATCTTTAAATGCATTATGCATGCCGGCTGCTACGGCCTGGAAGGAGAGAGGGTAGAAGAGCGAAAAAAAAGAGAAGGACGTGATGCGAGGCACAGGTAATTAGGAATCGCTGTAGGGGCCGTACACGAGACGAAAGAGTCGGAATCGGGGGAGAGGGGGCCAGACGTATAAGAAGAAGAACAAGAAGAAGAAGAAAAAGAAGAGGAGGAGAAGGAAGAAGAAGAGGAAGAAGAAGGAAGGAAGCAACGAGAAAGAGAGGTAGAAGGACCAACATCTTCTAAGAATAGCGGTCCCAAGGCCCTGGGGCCCTTGGCCCCTTCGTAATCAGTGACCATATAAGCAGAAGCCTCTCTCTCTTTATCCTACTCGCGCATGATCCCTCTCTCTGTTCCTCCGCAACGTTGAGCAAGCTCGCTTCTTCGTAACAACAACGCGTTGCAACTCCTCGTGGGGATCCCTCTATCATTGAGCCTCTTTACGATAGGATGTGGCCGAGATGCGTGGTTACGACACCAAAAATCGAGAAAGCGAGAACGTCCTTGGAGATGGGTCTGGGATAATCGTTATGGTCTTTGCCATCTTTGTGATTTTATTCCATGTTGTTGGATAGGTAATTGTGGGCGAAGT